TCCCACTATGGCCTCTTGCTTCTTCCGTAACTGTGCACGTGTTTTTACCACACAGTGTTCTATTTCCTTAAGGATAGCACATTAATACCTATAACTGCATTCCAAAATCACCTGGACATTTGATTTTTACAGATCTACCTTCTCTGGAATGGGGTCCACCTTGCTAATCCCACTCCGTTGCTGCATATGTCCAACAGTTCCTGTCCTGAGTACAAATAGAGGCATCCATTGCCACTGTTGGTTGCAAATCACTCTTGTGTAATTTACCCCTGGGAGAGAGTTGATGGACTAAAGCCATAGGAACAAACGCTTTTGTTCCTCCACCAGGAGGATGATCTTCACGGTCATAAGGTGTCTTCAGACACTCAGCATCATTTTTTAGTATCTAATTCATTCCTTCTCTGACTTTTGTTATTACTTCTTTGCTCTGATTTTAGTCTTAATTTGTTTGTCTTTTTCTAGTTCCTTAAGGAATAAAGTTACATTGGTTGATGTGGTCCCTTCTCCTTACTGCTGCATTTTTACCACAACAAACTTGCCTCTTCACTCTGCCTTTTCAAACCATCCCATAAGTTCCGTATGCCAGATTTCCATTTTCATTTGTCCCAAGACTCTTTCATAATTGGTTGCGCTTCCTTCCTTGGTCACTGGTTGTTCAGAAGTATGTTGTTCAATTTCTTCATGTCTGTGAATTCTCTATATTTTCTCCTGTAACAGGTTTCTAGCTTCATACCATTATGATCAGAAAGTATATTTGATATGTGTATTAGTCACTTTTCTGTTGCTGTGATAGAAACACTGACCAAAACAACTTATAGAAGAGTTTATTTGAGCTTACGGTTCCAGGGAAATTACAGTCCATCATGGTGGGGAGGCATGGTAGCAGAGGTGGCTGGAGAAGAGGAGCAGAAGCTAAGCTCTACATCTTCCAGCAGGTACAGGAAACAAGAGTGACTGGAGATCCGGCAAGGCTTAAGAACTCTCTAAGCCCACCCCCAGTGACCCACTTCCTCCAGGATAGCCACACCTTCTAAAACCTCCCAAAGCAGCGCCATCATCTGGGGACATAATATCCAAACATTTGAAGCCTATGGGGGACATTTTCATTCAGACCACCACATTCCACCCCCTGGCCCCCACAGGCTCATGATCATATAAAATGAAAAATGCATTTAATCCAACTTTAAAAGTCCCCATAGTCATTATCAGTTTCAATACTATTCAAAAGTCCACAGTCCAAGGTCTATTCTGAGATTCAGGTGAATATCTGAACTGTAAGCCTCTATAAAATCAAAAGACAAATTACATACTTCCAACATACCATGGAACCAAACACACATTACCATTCCAAAATGGAGGAATGGAGGCATAGTACGGAAATACCAGACCAAAACAAGACTGAAAACCAGCAGGGCAAACACCAAATCCAGTAGCTCCACATCCAACTTCTGGGACTTTACTTCCAAAGGGCTTAGATGGCTCAGCCTCTCTAGCTTTTCTGCATGCAACGCATATCTCTCTCTTGTGCTGGTACCACTCCCTGTATGCAGGTCTTCTTGGCAGATGCCTCACAGCTCTGGCATCGTGAACTTCTTGGGGGTCTCCATTGCCAACCAGGCTTCACCTTCACAGCTTCATGCAATGGCCTATCAGGGCCTTCTCTAGGCAGGGGTACACCTGTTTCACGCTGCCTGGCCTCCAAGGCTCTCTGAAACCGTGGAGGAAGAATTGATGACCACTTCACTCTTGCGTCTTTCATGCCTCTAAAGCCAGCACCAGGTGAACAACACTGCCAAGTTTGACTGCAAGTTTGGGATGGACTCCAGCTTGCTTTATCCATTTTAGAAACTTTTCTCTTCAGTGGTCCCTGCAGCATTTTTCTTTCTCAAGCTGGAGGCTTAACTAGGTGTGGTCTTTCCCTGGAGGGATGCTTTCCCTCTTTTAAGTTTGAATCTCTAGGCTCCTCCTTAATCACTTTAATCTCCTTAATCACTTTAATCTCCTTAAGCCAGGGCTCCAACATTTATCTTCCTAGTGCTCTTTTTCAATCCAAACTGTATTTCTTTCTGCCCCATTTGCTCTTTCACTGTAGATCTGCATAATATTCATCATTAATAACCATGCCACCATTTCTACATTAGGCTGTCATGAAATTTCTTCTGCCAAAAAAATCAGTCCATTACTTTTCAACTTAGCCTCAGGCAAGCTTTTTGGTCGAGGGCAGACTCCAGCCAGACTCTTTGCCAAAATATCCCAAGTGCTGCTTCCTTATTTCCCTCTGGAACTACATTGTTTTCAGCACTGCTTTTTTCTAGGTGTTTACTAGAATAGCCTGTTAAGCTCTGCTCACAGCAATCAACTAATTTTCTAGCCCAAGCTTCCAAAGTCTTCCACATTCTTCCAAAACCCCACATGGTCAGGTTATTCACAGTCAACACCCCACTCTTGGTACCAATTACTATATTAGTCACTTTTCTGTTGCTGTGATAGAAACACTGACCAAGACAACTTGGAAGAGTTTATTTGAACTTACAGTTCCAGGGACATTACAGTCCAACATGGCAGGGAGGCATGGTGGCTGAAGGTGGCTGGAGCAGGAGCAGCAGAAGCTAAGCTCTCACATCATCATGCAGGCACAGGAAACAAGAGTGACTGGAGATCCAGCAAGGCTTAAGAATTCTCTAAGCCCACCCCCAGTGACATGCTTCCTCCAGGATAGCCACACCTTCTAAAACCTCCCAAAACAGTGCCATTATCTAGGGACATAATGTCCAAACACTTGGAGCCTATCAGGGACATTTTCATTCAAACCACCACAGTATGATTTTGATATCCTTAAATTTGTTATGAATTGTCTTGTGGCCTCTATCTATCCTGGAGAACACCCCCGTGTGCCCCCTCTCTCACCCACAGTGTTCTGTATTCTACTGGTGGGTCACATGGGCTAGTGGGTGGTTCAGCTCTGATGTATCTTCATTCATTTTCTGCCTGGACAGTCTGACTGTGGTGGAAGGTGACAACTTTAATGTCACCTCCCGTGATGGTTTGAATGAAAATGTCCCCCATAGGCTCCAAGTATTTGGACATTTGGTCTCCAGATGGTGGTGTTGTTTTGGGAGGTTTTAGAAGGTGTGGCCATCCTGGAGGAAGCAGGTCACTGGGGGTGGGCTTAAAGAGTTCTTCAGCCTTGCCAGATCTCCTGTTGCTCGCTTGCTTCCTGTGCTTCCGTGATGATGTGAGAGCTTAGCTTCTGCTGCTCCTGGTCCAGCCACCTCCAGCCACCTCCAGCCACCATGCCTCCCTGCCATGACAGACTGTAATTTCCCTGGAACCGTAAGCTCAAATAAACTCTTCCTTCTACAAATTGCTTTGGTCAGTGTTTCTATCACAGCAACAGAAAAGTGACTAATACATCCTGGTATTTCTATTTACATCTCCCTTTACTTCAGACACCATTTGCTTCATATATCTGCATGCTCATTCCTGTGTTAAGTGCACACATATTTAAAATTATCACCTTTCCCTGATAGGCTGACCCTTTATCAATACATAGCAATATTCTTTGTCTTTATTTTACAATTTCTTTACTTAAACCCTATTTTTTCTTACATAATCATATCTGCCCATGCTTTGTTTGGTTTGGTTTGGGGGGGGGTTGCTTTTGTTTTTTTTCTAGGGTTTGTTGGGGTTTTGGTTTGGTTTGGTTTGGTTTGGTTTGGTTTGGTTTTTTGGCAGGGTCTCATGTGACACAGGCTGGCCTTGAACTCCCTATGTAGTAGCAGAGGTTGGCCTTGAATTCCTGATCCTCCTGCCTCTGCCACCCAAATGCTGGGATTACAGGTGTGTACCACCACACCTAGCTTTCTGAGTGTCTTTTGTGTGAAGTATCTTTCCTCGGCCCTTCACCATTAGTCACCTTAAAGGTAAAGGCCTGGTCACATTCTTGTCACGGCTGCCTGACTTGGCTCCACATCTCACGTTTATTCTAAAAATCCACAATCATGACTTATACAGAGAATATTTATCCATACAAAAATGTACCCAATGACGCAGACATTCGTGAAAGAGCATTCCATCCAAGAGCCCCCTGCTTCCCTCACAACAGTACTGATCTGTACTTACTGACAAGTGTGGCCATTCCTACACATACCTGCCTGAGCCAGCTCTACCACCTGTAGTGGCACAGCTACTCCTCCATTAATTAAATACAACATGCCAAGCACTGAATCAAGCTCTGGACACATATCAAATGTGTAATAAGTAAAATTTCTTGAAAATAGGTAATATTTCTACTTCCAACTTTCCAGAGGAGGGAAAAAGTATTAAGAAGGTCACAAAGGTACAGATGGCAGAAAACAGACTTGACTCTAAAGCCCCAGTCAGGCTGGGACCCCAAGCTGCCTCCTTCAAGTTTATTTGTCCTGTGGAGTCAACTTCCTCACTTATCTGCTAAGTCGCCTACCACAGCATCTCCTTCAACTGCTTCCCACACAAGCAGGGGTTCCTGGGAACAAGGCTCTTTCACTTTTTAATCTTATTTATTATTTTGTATGTGTATGTGTGTGTATGTGTGTGTGTACTCACATGGTAGGGGAGTGCTATGGCACATGTGTAAAGGTCAGACAGCAACTTTATGGAGTCAGTTCTCTCCTTCCATCCTTACAGGGATTCCAGGTATCAAACTCAGATCACCGGGCTTGCATGGCAAGCGCTTTACCTGCTGAGCCTCTGGCCCTAGGCTCTTCCTTGTAATACTGTATTCTCTGCACAGAGCTCATGGCCAGTGCCTAGTGGTTTGTCGAATGGTAAATTAATGAAACTGCCTTAAATTAAAGATGGTACAAAGACTGAGAAAATACTATCTTCTTTGAATTATTAAAATCAGAGCTTGTGATTTAGACCTTGCTGGTCCAGGTAGGAAATTATCACAAAAGACAAAAGCAATTGACTGTCACCCAGTTCTCCCCTCCAGCCCTGAACCCCACATGAGAGCACCTTACTTTCGAACGCCTCCTAGAGGGAAGACTTTTTCTCCAACCATGGCCAGCACACTATTCCAATCTGAGAGGCTGAATTTGGGTATAATGATCTTTATAGGTGGGATAAATAATCTTCCATTTGTGAAAACACTGTAAGAATAAGAAGAAAAAGCATTCAATACTGCCTTAAATTTGAGGGGAAAACACTGTAAACTCAAAAAGCATAGATGTATTCAGAGAAATGTAAAAACAATTTGATGCTCTGATCAACCCCTAATAACACACCAAGCCTTACAGAGCTCTACATTAAGCCATGAAGAATGTCTTCAGGCTGCTGACATAGAGGTAATGTCAGGAAAGTACCATTTTTAATTTATTATTTTATTTTGTTTTTATTTGACAGAGTCTCATGTAGCTCAGGCTAATCTTGAATTTTCTATGCAGTTGAGGATGACCTCAGACTTCTGACCCTCCTATTCTACCTCCTCAGTTTTGAGATAACAGGCATGTACTAGCACTTACAGTTTCTGTGATGCTGGGGATGGAGCATGCTAGGTGGTACTGTACATCTGAGCTACATCCCAGTCCAGAAATTATCTTATAATCCATGGTGCTCAAACGAGTAGGAAAAACTCACAGGAGAGATGACTCAGTGGTTAAGAGTACTGACTGTTCTTGCACAAGACCCAGGTTCAAGTCCCAGCACCCACAAGGTAGCTAACGACCATGCATAACTCCAGTTCCAGGTAATCCAATGCCCTCTTCTGACCACCATGAGCCTTGCATGACACAAGTACACTTACATACATGCAAGCATAACACACACACACAAAATTTTTAAAAATTAATTTTTTAAATGATATGCTTTCTATGATAGGCGAAACAGAAGAAAATCATGTCCGTTTGGAAAAGTAAAGGGGGAATGACATCTGAGAAATGAAGCCATGTCCCTTGTCCCAAAGCCCAGACAGGCACACAGTGGAAATTCAGCATGAGTGTCTGGATTCAACAGGTGACACAGACACCTGGCCTCATGTCCAGTCTTCCCGCAGCAAGGTGACCCCAGTGGGCTTGGTTCCTTAATGCTACATGGCAGGAGGGACACTTAAAAGCTCTTCAAAACTCAACCAAAGTTCCTATTTAATTTACTAGTGTTAATGAGGCTGTGCCACACAAATCACACCTTGGGGATAGCTTCAAAGTCTCATAATTTACATTAAAATAAGGTAAAATAGGCTTGGTGTGGTAGTGTACACTTGTAATTCCAGCACATGGGAGGCTGAGGCAGTGCGATTCTTTGTTCTAGGCCAGTCTGGGATATACAGAAAGACCCTGTCTCAAGAAATGAGTAAAATACAAGGCTTATTTTCTTTTAGTCTGTGCTTTAACAATGTATAAGCTCATTTCTACAATTCTGACTTTCTAAGTCTGCCTAGATTATTTGCTGTTGTTGTGGTTTTATATGGCTTCTTCCTTAAATGACTTAGAATGTGATAAACGTTTCTCAGAGAGAATTTGAATGCTTGTTGAATGTGTTTGTGCCAGTAAACAGAAACCATTTTCTCTGCTAAAACTCCATGGCAAAAGAGACTTGAGGTCAACCCAGGGTTCAGCTTCTTCCTTATTTAAAACACTGCCTCAAGGAGACCATAGAAACATGTGGCCTCTGCAACTCATCTGAACACCAATACTATCACAACAAAGAGTGACAGGATGCTTTCAACAATCTCTTTTCCTAACTGATTTGTCAAAAATCTTTCTAAATGCAGGTTACTAGCAATGATAAAGTATTTTAATACAATTATGTTATAGTTTGCCTACATTTTTAAGATTATGTTTGTGTATGCAGGTGCACGTTGGAGCAGCCAGAGAACAACCTCAGCTGGCCACTGACCACCTTGGTTTTTGAGACAGGGTCGCTCATTGACCTGGAACTCTCTGAATAGGTTAGTCTGGCTAGCCAATGAGCCCTAGGGGTCCACATGACTGGATTATAAGCATGGGCCACCATGGCTGTTTGGTTTTTTTTTAACATGGGTTCTGGGTATCAAACTCAGATACTCATGCTTGCAAGGCAAGTACTTCACCAACTGACCCATCTCCTCAACCCCCTAAATTTTGAAGATTTTAATTTGCATTCCTAACCCTAGTGTTGAGAAATAGGTATATTCAAATACAGCTGGTATAGTTGAACACTAGCAAGGGCTTCCTGAGGGCACTGTGACGACAGAGAGTGATACAACACCCACAGACCCAATACTTCCCTTCCATAAAACCCACTTCACAGAAATGTAAACAGAGATGTTATGTGTGAAGATATTTCTCATACTACAATTATTTATTTAAAAAAAAAAAGACACATTTCTTGGGGCCAGCATCTTTCCTAGGTAAGTTCAGTCATGCCCACTGCACCTTGACGCCCCCAGCCTCTTTCACCCTCCCAGCTCCCCCACCCCTCTCTCCTCCTAGTGTGGGCATTAGCCCATTTCTGCTCTTGGCACCCCAGGCCTCTGGACTGCCTTCTTGGCCCAGAGTCCCCACTGCTTCCTGATTCATTACACCCAGACAAGCCCAATATCTTGGACTAGTCCCTGGGAACCCTTGGGGCCTGTTCCCTCCCCCATCTTGCCTTTGCATGCCTCAGGCAGGCCCTCATCCCTGGCCATCCCAGCACCCAACTTCCTGAGGCCAACATCTTTCCTGGGTAAGTTCAACCATGCCCACTGCACCTCGACTCCCACAACCTCGTTCATCCTCCCAAGCTCCCCAATTTTGTCTCTCCTCTTGGTGTGGGCACTGGCCCATTTCCTCTCTTGGCAGCCAAGACCTCTGGACTGCCCTCTTGGCCCAGACATCCCACTTCTTCCTGATCCTTTGGGCCAGACCAACCCAATTCCTTGGTCTAGTGTCCTGGAGCCCTGGGGTCTGTTCTCTCCCCACCTTGCCTTTGCATACCTGAGACCAGCCTTCATTCCTGGCTGTCCCACCCATAACCTGGATTCCCGAGACCACCCTCCTTCCCTTCTTGCTCTGGAGTCCTGAGACCAGCCCCTTCCCTGAGACTGCCTGAGAATACTGAATCCTACCTAGATATCATCCCAAATTGTACTATGCCTGCTGACTACAGGGATCCAGACCTTAGGGAAAGGCCTGAGAGCGACCCATCTTCATCTGACTTGGGCCTCTTGGAATTCCTGAGCAGTAGGACAAAAACCATCTGGCCCCTCCAATATAAAATGAAAAGAGAGAACCTAAAGCCTAGACCAACCAGCTTTTAATGTCCAACAAGGAAACCACAAAGGCAAATAAGGTTTACCAAAAGAAGCAGACCTAAACTCAGCAAAGGAAGGCTTGAGTCTCACACAAGAATCAGAAACTACAAAAGAAATTCACATGTCAAATCACAGAGAAAAAATAATTACATGAAAAACCCAAATAATATATCCCCACTAAGCACTGACAGTCTTGCAGAGCAGTACAATGAGAACCCCCTAGAGATAACACAGGACACTGAACTCAAATGAACAATTATAAACATGATTTAAAAATTCAGTGAATTTAATGAGCACATAAACAAACAAATCAAAGAACTGAAAGAAGATAGGGATAAACTTCTGAATGAATTCAGAAAAGAGTTAGAAATATTGAAGACTACTCAGGCTAAATGAAGAAGGAAGTGAAATAGTCAGCAAGCCAATTAGAAATGACAGGAGAAAGCCTCACCAATAGGATGAATGAAATGGAAAACAGAATATCAAGACTGGAAGAAATCACAAGAATGGAACATACAGGAATTGTGTGACACCATAAAAAGACCAAACTTGTGCATCATAGGCAAAGGGGAAGGAAAAGAATCTCAGGATAATAATACGGACCAGATCTTCAACAGGATTATAAAAGAAAATTTCCCAAGGTTAATGAAAGACATGCCCATACAAATACAAGAAGCATATAGAACACCAAATAAACAGGACCAGAAAAGAAACGCTCCATGGCACATCATAGTAAAAACACTACACAAACAAAACAAAGAGACAATACTGAAAGCTGCAAAAGAGAAACAAGTCACATATAAAGGAAAACCATCAGGATTATGACTGATATGCCAGTGCAAACTATGGAAGCCAGAAGAACTTGGACCAAAGTATTCCCAGTTCTAAATGACCACAGATACCAACCAAGATTACTTTACCCAGCCAAAATGTCTATTATAGTCTAAGGGAAAATAAAAATCTTCCATGATATAAACAGGGTGAAAGAACTCATCTCCACAAAGCCAGCCCTTCAGAGAGTTCTTGAAGCAATACAAAGAGCTGACGAAAGGAACAACTATATCCAAGGGGTAACAGAAAGAAATTTAATGAAGGTATGACTGGAAATGCACAGTTACACCAAGAATCCGAACAGAAATCAAAATGACAGGATTCAATACACATCTTTCATTAATAACTTTAAATATCAATGGACTGAACTCCCCAGTCAAAAGACACAGAGTAGTTGAATGAATTAAGAAAGAAAAATCACCTTTTTCTTGTGTGCAAGAAACTCATCTCACTTTCAAGGACAGGCACTACCATAAGGTGAAAAGATGGAAAAAAATATACCAAACGAATGGTACTAAGAAAAAAGCAGGCACTGCAATTCTAATATCTGACAAAATAGACTTCAAAATAAAACTAATCAGAAGAGATAAGGAGAGTCACTTCATTCTGATCAAAGTAACAATTGATCAAGAAGATAATATATTCACCAAACTTTGGTGTGCCCAACTTCATAAAAACTGTACTTCAGGACTTTAAGACTCAGATTAATCCCAACTCATTAAGAGTAGGGGACTTCGATACCTCACTGTCTCCATTAGATAGATCAACAGGGCAGAGAGTTCACAGAGAGACATCTAAATTAAACAATACCATATATCAAATGGACCTAACAGACATCTACCAAGCATTCCACCCAAGCACCAGAGAACATACTTTCTATTCAGTGCCCCATGGAACCTTCTCCAAAATCAACCACATGCTGGAGCACAAAACAATCAACAAATAGGAAAAGATTGAAATAATTCCATGCATTCTATCACACCACAATATAATAATCCTTAATATCAACACTGGAAGAAACCCTAGTAACTACATGAACACATGGAG